CAGGTGTGCCAGTTGGGCTTGAGGACAGTTCTTGGGGTTGAAAGGAAGAGTGGCGGAGTTGGAACAAACTTAAGCAGCCCCTCGGGGGTACGTAAAACATATACATCATACAATTTTTCGCTCCAAAAAAGACGCAACCCGGACTATAAGGACACACCTAAATTTTTAGAGGAGGAAAACAAGAAAGAAAATATTCTGAACCAATGGACTGACAAGGAAACTTAGTACATGGAGGATGACCAGAGGACTGCAGAAAAACCCTAAATAAAAAGCAAAAAGATTAAAAAAAAAATACAGGAGAACTGCCAGAGGATGCTGACATAACTACAGATTACCAGTTAACACTGCGGACATGAGTACAGGAAGAGGACCAATAGACTGCGGACATAGTACAGGAAGATGACCAAGACTGCGGGACATACTACAGAAATGACCAGAGACTTAGCGGACATACTACAGATGACAGAGACTGCGGACATTAACCTACAGACTATACGACCAAGGACTGCTGACATAACTACAGGAGATAAACAGAGACTGCAGACATGACTACAGATGACCAGAGTAACTGCGGACACAGTACAGGAGATGACCAAAGACTGCGGACATAGTACAGGAGATGACCAAAGACTGCGGACATACTTTACAGATGGACCAGAGGACGTGCTGGATCATACTACAGATGACCCAGGAGACTGCGGACTTTTACTAACATGAGATGACCAGAGGACTGCGGACACTAGTACAAGGGATTGACCAGAGACTGCAGACACAGTACAGGAGATGACCAGAGAAGCTTTGCGGACATAGTACATGAGATGACCAGAGACTGTGGACACAGTACAGGAGGATGACGCAGAGACTAACGGGACAAACGTGACGAAGGATATGACCAGAGACTGCAGACCACAGTACAGGACAATGACCAGAGAACTTGGGACATATTTACAGATAAGTAACATGAGATGACCACGAAAGTCTAGTGGGGACCAACAATACAGGAAAGAATGACCAGAGACTAACGGACAAAACTACAGTAGGATAGATGGACCAGAAGACTTGCAGACACAGTTACAGGAGAAGGCAAAGAGGACTTGACGGACTTACTAGGGGGTAAATTAAAGAGAAGACTCGCAGACCATATGGGGCGAGCGGGGGGGGGTATCCGAGATGTACCCGCTCATCACACTATCCCCATAGTCTTGTGGGACACATGACAGGTCCAGAAGACCACCGGGCCATTCACAAACGCAGAGCTACTCGTGCGAATGCCGGCAGTGGGCATCCCTGTCTGTGAAGTCCCAAGCTGTCACATCTGAGTGCCACACTGAAGATGCCGGGAGAGAGAAGATGGCCGGTGAAAGCTGGACACCATGGGACCGAGGAACAGGTAGGGCCAAGGATGCGGGTTCTTCTGCAATGTAGAGCCAAATGAGGCTGGCCAAGTATTCTAACACCGGCGGCTGCAACGGGGGGAATATGGGCTGGCGCTCCATATTCGCTCCCATAAGACGGCACAATTCCCCCAAATTTTTGGGGGGAAAAAAAGTGCATCTTATGGAGTGAATATACGGTATATAGCAAAAACTTTTTTGTAGTTTGGACAGAGTTTGAGCTGGATTAGAACACCTACTAGGTTTTTATTGCTATCTGTGCCCCCATTATGGAGATAAACCCTATTTGCTCCTAGATTGTAAGCTCAAAAGAAGCAGGGCCCTTTACCCCCTCATGTTTTGTTTTGTACTGTATTGTCTCATGTTCTGTCCCCCACTATCATGTACAACGCTGAACAAACCTTTTAGCGCTATATAAATACTGTATAATAATAATAATAATTGCATGTTTACCATTTTTGAAAGTAAAAGTAAAACCCAAATGTTAGGTTTTCCCTAGAAAAGAAATAAAGGGGGAAAACTTCCAAAGGGGACATTAGTTCTGGTGATTTAGGGGGCCCAAGGAATTATCTTAATTTGGGAGGGATTTCCTGTCACTTCCTGCTTTAGCTATGAACAGGAAGTAAAGGTAAATCTTACCAAAGAGACACAGATGTCCAAAAAAATCAACTCTCCCTTACTCTATCCAAATTGAGAAAAAAAAAGATTTGGGCGATAGTTTTTACTTTATTTGAACAAGCTGAAGTTAGAAGCTGATTGTCTAAAAAAATGACAGGGCTTATAACCCTCCCCAACCTATCCAAAATAAAAAAATGTTTTGCCTACAGTTCTACTTTTAAAAAAGCAGATCATTTGAGAGATAAAATAGCTCCTTTTCATGTATTTCAAACTGTGTAGTTTCGCTGAATTTTTGTTTTCATTTCTTAAATTTTAAATATCCCTCACCCCCTAGGCTTTATAGAGATATCATTTGACCTTTCTGTTTCCAGTTACGAAGTAAGTTCATCGAATCTGAAATACCCATTAGACATTGCTTTGAAACAACAGAGATATCTGTTTAAGTTGATGAGACCTGTAGTGAGAGAAATGCCAAAAGCTCCCGGCAACTTCTTCAAGAACTCCAGCTGCGCTTGGCTGTCTTCTGGCTTCTATACTATAGTGGACCATGAAGATCAGGGATAAGTGAATCAGAACACCTGACTCTGAAAGTATGGTCAACCAGGCAAGGAGTATTTTAGCATATGTGCAATTAAATAACCATGTCACATATCTCTCATAAAAGATTTTATTTTATGGCAAGGTTCCACACTAGTGGCAGCTTGTTGGTGATTTGATCTGATTGTCAGTGCTATTTTGTTAGTGCGGACTTGGGTTGTTTTTTACTCTTTTTGTACCTACTGGATTTTTTCCGTAAGGGAAAAAAGGACTTGGATGGAATGACCATATATGGACAAAGTCCATATTTGTTCAATAACTTCTTAAGAATTAAAGTGTCATCAGGTGACATCATTGACCATATATTTTACATGCCTATATATGGTCAATGAACATCACCAGGTGACCTCTACCCCTTAGTTACTTCAGCGGACTGGGGGGAAGGGGAATGTCAGTTTAGTGGCCTGGCAAGTGATGGGAAATCGCGCAGTCAGCAAGCTGATGGGAACCCCCGCCCACAGACCCCCTGAACACTAGGTCAGGTTTATGGGGGGGAGAGGCTCTTGTCCTCCTGGCAAAGAAACCCCTCATGTTGAGGAGCATGTGGAATGGGGCAAATGCTCACTCCCCCCTTTCCTGGCCATGAAACAGGCTGCAGGCTCAGGTCAGGGTTCTGGTTATGGGATTTTGGGGGGGGACCCCAATGTCAGTTTCTCCCAAGTGTCTGAATGTTTGCCGCCAGTCCAGCTATAAGTCGCTGATACGCCGCCATTACTAGTAAAAAGTAAAAAATATTCCAGTATCTATGCCACCATTTGTAAATGCTAAAACTTTCATGTCAAACCATTTAATTTAACACGTATTGGGATTTTTTTTTAGCAAAGACATGGAGGAAGATTACATTTTGGCTTAAATTTCTGGACGAAATTTGATCTTTCAAATTTTTTTTACTGGGACATTGTTTAATAGCAACAAAAAGTCAAAAATATTGTTTCTTTTCTCACAAATTGTTGGTCTTTGTTTTTATAGCGCACAAAATAAAAACACTCAGGTGATCAAATAACCTCCGAAAAAAAAAAGCTATTTGTAGGGAAAACAAAGGACGTAAAATTTTGTTTGAGTGCAAGCTCTGCATGACTTGGTCAGTTAAAGTAACGCTGCGTTGTAACACTAAAAATAGGCCTGGTCAGGAAGGGGAGGTAAATCCTCTGGAGGGCAAATGGTTTACAAACCATAAATTTGTTACAATTGTGTTCTGTACAATAGATTACCAGTGAGAAGGTATGGTGGGGGCTTTTGTTCAGATTTTATAAAAGAAGCAAGGAATTTCCCCAAAACATCAAATTCTCCTAATCTAGAGAAAAAAACAGTGTATTTATAACTCCCTTTACTATAGTATACTGTATCAGTTGAGAAAGTGTGACACATTCTGTTTTGCAGGTTCAAGAGAAGCCTTTTCTGGGAGGGTACACAGGAGTTCTACACCCCCTTGGTACTGGCAGATGTGGGAAATAATTGAGCAGTGAACACCAGTGCAGGAGTAATCCCTAGCATGGGGCCCTGCGAGTGGCAGACGTTGCCTTTGTGCTAAGGACGTTTTAAGTGGCTATCAAGTTGACAATTAGTTATTGAGGGACCAGTTTCAGGGACCAAGGCCCCCTTTAAAACACTGTGGTACAGCCATTTGGTGCAGCTTCATGAGTCTTGTTACACGGACAAATCATTGTGCTACAGGTATTATATTCAGAGTAGTAGTAGTGCATCAATTCATGCCCACTAGACATGTAAATCGTTTCGTTACAAATTGAAATTCGGACAAATTTTCATTATTCGGATGTATCCGAATTTCCAAACTAACATAGTAACCAAATTTCAATGATGTGAAATAAATTATAACAAAATATGAACATTCGAATTCAAAAATGAAATTCGAATTAGAAAAGTATTTTAAATTCCAACATGTATTCGAATTTGAAACATATTCATTATTGTAGCAAGGTATAAAAAGGGAAATAAAGATGATGATTCTACTTAGGGCGGATCTGAAATAGAATAGAAAAGGAATAGAAATAAAAAACAAGACTAAGAATAGAATATAACAGTAAATACAATATAAAACAGGACAGAATAGAATTATTTAGAATGGACAATAAAAGGATATAATAGAATGGAAAGAAAAATAGAATACAAAAGAAGTTGAATAGAATAGAGAAAAAAAAGATAAGAATAGAAAAAAATGAAATAGAATAGAATAAATTGCATATAGCCATTTTTTAATTTGATTTTTCAAATAGAATAGATTTGAATAAATTAGAAAGAATTTAGTCCTCTTTCAATATTTTGAATTTCAAATATAATAGGGTAAAATAGAAAGAAGATAGCTGTCTTCTGAAAATTGAATTTTGACTTAGCAATGGAATAGATAAAATAAAAATAAAGAATTAGGCTTCTTCTGAAAGTCATTTTGAATAGAATAGACTAGAATAAATTTGAAAAAAGAATATAGCCATCTTTCAAAATTCTAAATTCGTAATCAAGGCATAAGTTATGAAATACTAAAGAAATCCATAATATACAAAGCAAAATATGAGGCAACAAAACTAGTAACTTAACTAATGAAGCTGTGTGAAAACGAAACAATTTTTTCCATTGTGCACAGCCTAGTGCCACTATGCAGCGTTATGTTAAATCACAAAATATTTGACTGTAACAATTTTCACCCAATGAATATTAAAAATTAATAAAACAAAATGAACCATTAATTCATATAGATGAAAAATAGTAAAGTCCAAATTAATACCTCATCCAAAAGTGCATTAAAATTTAACATCCAGGTTTCAAAGTGCTTTAGGACAGTCGTGTCTTCTTGTTGCAAAGATTCCACGCTAATTCCCCATACACAATAAAAACTATTTGCGGAAACCACTGATTGAACGATTTTCTCTTCGTTGATGAGCAGGATTGGATGTTTTAATGATAACAATATTGTGAACGAAAAATTCTGGTTGTAAAAACAGTGAAAAATGTTGTCGTTTTTGATACAACCGAGTGTTTTTCTATGCGTGGGTGGTATGATGGTCGTATGAAAAAAAATTGTCAAGCGCTATCAGCATGAGCGGAAACAGAAGATGGCCGTATGTTTATGTCAAGGAATCTTCGTTAAACCACCGGAGACGAAAAAATCCAAATGTTAAAAAGTAGATTGGCCAATCGTACTGGCCGGCAGGGGCGTGGGCTACAAGAGTCCAGACACTAATCACTTCCATTGTTACAGAAGAAAGTCAACACTACAAATTGCCACGACGAATGATTTTTTTTTTAGATTGGTATGTGGCCCACAATTTCGATCAACGAACGCCTCTCGGTCATCGGATGACCGATCGGTCGAATTTT